CGCCGAGACTCGCAGCACAATGCGACATCCTTGATGCGGCATGCTGATCATTCGAGCAATGAATAAGGTATCTACGCTTTTCGCCTGCCGTGCTCACAGCTGTGACAAGGAGCATCGACGCTGCAGCTTATGTCTCCGTCACGGGGCTAATCGGCCTGTGGTAATGCACTGCAATTCCTCCGATGATAATGACAGACCCGTCGGCGGAGAGCTGCCGGAGAGAGGCGCTCATCTCGGCGATTCTCAGCCAGCGTTACTGGATTGCCTCTAGAAATTAGACCTATTCCAGACCGGTGGGGGACTTTATGGGCAAATTACGACTCGTTGCCGAGGGACAGATCGAAGTTGGACGTGACTGGGCTCCGTAATTCGTCGTCGGTTTTATGGCTACATTCGATGACATTCTCTCGAATGAGTTGCTCTCACGTGAACTGTCTTCAAATAGGACCAGGATTCCCAGAGGAGCGGCAAGTTTATCCGGACAGATCTTCTCAATATGCGCTCCGGTGTCTGTCTGTGTTCAAGTTCTCATGTTATCTATTCCTCGCACCCTGCGAAGATTTCGACTGGGAGCTCAAGTCGTGAGATGGCGCCGGCCTGCATGCTGAGAGCTACAACGAATGATTAGGTTGACCTTCGTCCCTTCGTCCGGCGATCTTCCCGGCTGGTCGCCTGGTTCGTATCGACGCCAAAACTTACGAACAAAGACTCAGCTCAAGTGGATACGGCGTTTGGGCTCATTTCTATGGTTTCCGCTCGTACAATAGAGATGAGACATTGTCATAGGGAAGTTCCCGAAACTACATTCTCCCTCGCGAGATAGCTGCTTGCGGGGCTTGAAAGACCCGATTTTTTCAGGCCCGATCGCTCCCACAGTGAGCAGACATTCAGAATATTTTCCTTCTTGTCGGTCGCGATGCCGTATGAACAATGCGGCGTCCTTGACGAGGACGCCCATGCCGCCGCGAGTGCTTATCTTATCGTGTCGCTCGCACGACCTGAGAACGGTTTTTTTCCCTGATTGTCCGGAAGTTCGCCACGTGCCGAATTGATTCCAGCGATCGATGCGCACGGGGCGCCCCTGATGGGAGAACGCTCACGCAGACGATGGACTAGCCGCTTGAATATTCCGGGACGTGTAATCACTTTATTGCGCTTTCCGCTCGCTAACCTGTGGGTTACGGGAGCAGTCTTGATCTGGGAGAGTGCTCGCTGTAGGAGTCAGGAGAGACCCGGAGCTTTTTGTGCGAGTTTTAGCTAGTAGGCGATGTCCAGGATGCCGAGCACAGTTATTCCATCTTTCCTAAAATTATGCATGCCAGAAAGTCGGTCTCAGCTTGTGCTACTAGCCACGGGGCTCCGTTTCGGTTGCTGGGTCAACTGTACTTTGACCATATTATCTCATTTTGAAAGTGCCCCGATCCCACGAGCTTTGTCTTCGAGCGGAAGAATTTCGATTATGAATCCCTCCCGATCTGGTCGCTTCACTGAAATATTTCTCTCTCTGCTGCTGATAGTAATCGACTCTGGAATCCATCCCAGGATAGAGATTCTGCTCGTCTGAACAAAAGCCACGCGAAGTCCTCAGGGAGAGTTGCTCACGTCCACATGCAAGCTGCATTCTATTGTCTGAGCGTGGAAGAGTCGTCTGGGGACAAACTCACGGTAAAAACTGCAATATTGCGCCAGAGAAAAATACACAAAGCCTCCACAACGGAGCGATATTTCCTCAGCCCACCCGCTGCGTTAACCCACCGAGATACGAACCAGAGTTCGGTTTCAGACTTCTGCCCTGCTAGCAACTTGTCACAGCTGCTTGTGCGAGCCCGGGCCGCGCACCATGATTTATTGCCTACAAATCACCGAGAATTAGTTACGCTCAAGGGGATCTTTCTCTTCGGGGGGCAGCCATAACGTATCATTCCACTCTCTCAAAATCCTCTCTTCCTCCAGCACAACTCCTTGGGCTTCTCCGTGAGGTCAGCGACTCGCTCTTTCTATTGTATGTAGTTCCGCGATTGATGCGCTGTTCTTCCTTGCTCGCTGTGAGGGATACACGCACCGCCTTGTAGGTCAGAAGAATCATCGTGTCGTCTCGAAGCATAGCCGCCGGCGTGCTTCTGATTGAGTCTCGATTTCTTGACTGGGCTGTTGTGAGACTCCTGCATAACGATCGGGAGGAGCACTGCTCTCGATACCCATGCCCGAGGGAGCCTCGGGCCTAATGGAATAGATTCAGGAGAGAGCCGCCCCCGATCGACGGAGCCACGATCTAGAGAAAGGAGCGCAATCTCCCAAGTGACCGTCGCTCGCAGCGTAGAGGCGACGCCATTCCGGAGCCAACGGAGTCGTCTCACTCAGAGAGGACGGGGCTATCAGCGAGATCATCGGTTGTTTGACACCGAGGGAACTTGTTGCCCGGCTCGTCTAAGCCGGGCGACTTGATGTTCCCCTATTATGGATCACTCTGAAGCCTCGGGGGGAACTAGGCGGAATTTTTCCGAATCATGGCGGAGACACCCACCTGGCGGTATCTCGTGTTCGATCGGATCCGTACTGGTGAACGAAGCGACTCCGCGAAGCGTAGGGGCCTCGCTCTCCCTTGTTGTCCCTCATGGATTATCTTGTGATTTTTTTTTAACATCATCAGCGCTTCAATGCATACGCTGACGGAGGAAGATATAGACAGCAATAAAGAGCGGTGGTGGGACCTCGAGCCGTGAACGCGAGATCACTCGCCCTCGGCCGCGCCGAAAGGCAACCCATGACTCTCTATCATGTCATCCCCCGTGGGAAATCTGGAATGATCCCCTAGGATTCTATAGCAGGGAGCCTTGAGGGTCCGGGGGAGAAATTACCTCAAACCCTGCCATCCGGAAGCTCTGCGAAAACAAAACTGGGAATTTAAGAGAAGTGCCACCGTTCCACAATGCGATGCTCTTGATTACCTTTTGGCGGGAGGCTCCCCATCGCGACCAGATAAGGCGGTTTCGGTGGAGCCGAAATCGCAGAATCCTGCAGAGGGAAATTGTCGGATTACAAATGCTGAATCTTCTACGGGGGATCACGTCTCATTCGAAAAGTTCTGCCTCACCTGCCTTAGGGGAAATGGCCTCATGCCCGCAACTCATGCAACGACGACATTTCTGCCGGATTGAATACATATCTCGAATCTAGCGGGTTGTTGTCCGACAGATGTCCGTCGACGAGCTCCTTTATATGATCGAGTGTGTCTAGTTCCGGTAGCTCCCCGTGCAACTTCCAACCAATGATCGGTCGGAATCTCTTACCAACCTTCCGTTCCAGCAGTCAGACTATCCATGACAGAAATCTCGGTTTTTCTGTCGACACATTAGGCCACTGCGGACGAAGAAACGCTCCGGAATTATTATTCCCAGTGCCCTCGTCGAGCCAAACGAAGGGTCTGCGTCATGAACGCTTCCACGGGAATCGCCGGAAAGTCTTCTCCGAGTCTCGCTGACCACATTCTCAATTTTCCTCTCGGTCGAATTGATCTTAGCGATTGATCCTCAAGGGCTCAATCACTTTCCTCTGGGTTTCTGATCAGCTATATGTACCTACGCGCCTACGCGGATCCGACTGATCGTGGGCGGGTGAGACGTCTCGCTCGTCCACATGCGATTGCGCATCGAGACACCTGAGCCGCTTTCATGACCGGTCCGATCAGTAAACTGAAGCCTGTACGGGAGCAACGAGTCGACCCGCCGCATGCTCCTCGATCCGAAGGAGAAAACGATCTGTGAAAGGGAATCAACTGACTCGAGTTGATTTATTTCTCGGCATACGTCATACTACCTCCTCAGTCTCCAACGTCATCATTTAATCAAACATTCCTCCCATCGTTCATTATTTGTACAACGGCACTCCTTGTTGATCGTCGGCTTGTGCTCGACGAAAACGATACACGTCGTCATTCAAAGACTCCTGGCATTAAGGAAACGCTCATATTACATCCTAAGTTCTAGCTCGTAGGAAAATACAATCTTCGTGAGCTCTCTTTGGAAATCAAGTTGCTATTTCTGCCGCGACTGATATATCCCGCGTACTATAAACAAGGCTGTAATCAGCTCACTCGATGAGCGGCGCGACTCTTCTAGAAGACTACGATCACAGTTTTTCGTTTGACACGATTTGATGCACATGTGTCTGCCCACGAGCTAGCAGGCCATGAATTTACAGACATGTACAATTTATTGAGTGACTGAAGCGTTGCGTAAGTTGTCCTACGATCGTTCGTCCCTCGATTGGCTAATGCTTCAGATCACGTTCATAAACGGAATCCGCTTCCGATCATTCGTGGGGCTCTAGGTGGAATTACGATTCATACCGTTCGACGTGTCACGCTCCAGTGGTCTGTCATTGCCATGCATTCGCTTCAATATGGACGAGTCTAGCGGAACTAGTTATTTTCTTAATTTTCTTCGCAGTTCTGTCCATGTGCATGACCCATAGGCTATTCGCCTGAGGCATGAGTTAACGTCTGTACTTGAAGGAGCCCTCCCTGATCTCGTCGATCAACGTCAGTCGCCTCCGGGTCGGGAAGCATTGACAGCAAGCCTATGGACTTTTTGATCAGGCAGCACCGCTTCCGGGAGAAAATATGGCGGGAGAAATTCGCGCCTGTCTCCCGCTATTCCTATTGCGCAAAATTCGAGACAAATGACAGCTACGAGTTCGATCGTTCGCCTCATCGATTGAATATTTTACCACGGAGCGAGACGCGAACAATAGAATTGCATGCTGAAAGAAGCCGCTTCCGATTCTCCATTGCGCTCCATTCGATTCAGAACAATAAAAACGTAGTATGGAGCCTCAAAGAGCGGGAAATGCAGATCACAGAGGGCTCCTTTTCTCTGTAAATCCCTTCCGAAATCGGTCGGATTCAGACACGAGTCAGGCGATCCAAAAACAAATCCTCGAACTCTCTCACGACCGATATAGTATTGTCCGCTTCGCTCGTCTGTAGGATACAGACATCGCTACAAATCCGTCATTCCTATGAAGGACTTGCGAGGCGGTCCGGACACGAGGGGAATGTTCTCTCGCTGACGATCCTCGACGAACAGCGAGCGGATTCTCTGGCCATGAAATACGTAGACTAGCACGGGCGGGATGAACAAATTCAGTTCACACGCCAAATCCATAGAGACCAACAACCATGGAGGTACTGATGTCACGCAAGCACGTACGGTGTGTACGCCGGCGAAAGAGCTGGGCACCTGAAAGGCAAAATATAATTCGTATACGCGGAGGGAGCGTCCTGCCTCGCGGGAATACAATGCTTCTCCCACGGCGCATTCGGGAAAAGGATCCTCCGGATCAGCTCGGTCCGCACCGGGAGACATGTTCTTAAACTGTAACGTCACCGGTCACCGCAAGAAAAGCTAAGAAAGATTACCTCCGTCGCGGGATCCTTTTCACAAAGCATTGTGCCAGACCGAGCGGATGAGGAGAGGGTTCTTATGATCTCCCTCGCGGGGCACACCGACGAATTTCTCCCCGACAAAAATTTTCCCGCTCGAAGAGCTCACAAATGGCTTTTACTTCTGAGAATGCCGTGACCCGTGATCCGGCGAGTCCCGTCTGCTCTTTTGCCGCTCCCAAGAGCCGTAACTCTTAAGGTCGAAATGGAGGGAGGAACCTCGGGAGTGCAATCCCATGGATCAACCCGCTTTCAAGGATAGAATCGACATGAGAAAGAATGACGACGACTTCCGACGAGGACCCGGGTCACGCAGATGCATCGATATTCGACAGGTGGGAGGAGACAGATGAGCCGTCGCCGGCAATAAAACTCACCAGTATGCAGCAAAAGATGCAGATGACAAGGACGGTGAGCTTTTCTTTTCTCGGAAAAAGCAATCTCGACTCGCCCGTTGTCTTGGCTGGTTGTTCCGGAGTGCGTAGGAGGAATGACAGAGTCGAGTACAAAGACATGAGAATGACAGGAAAGAGCACCTCGAAGTTGGTGAACATTTGATACGAACAGCTGTGCTTAGAATCCGATGCGAGGTCGCACACGTACAACTCTGCAACGAACGAACGACGTCGCCTACTTGTGCTGAAATTTTATTTAGCGAGTCCGCGTTCGCCACCCTTATCATCCGCGCTGAAAGAGACAGCCGGCTGAGCTGGACTAATGAAATGGACTCACCAGGAATCAAATCATACCGCCCCCAGCCATACATGGGCCCCGTCACTTGCGGCACTATGACCAAGAACAAGCCGGGCAGTATCACGTACGCATTTAATGGACTAAACGTCAGAGTGTACTCATAAGGGCTGCTGTTCCTCATGTATCTGGAAAGAGGGAGATCTTCAACTTAATTTCCTCTCCACGAGTTCCCAAGTACATTACGCATTATTATCTGTGGTGGGGCTCGCTCCCAGCCGAGGGTCACGCCGTAATGAATCCCGAGTGTGAATTCAAGGTGATGAAATCGTTTGGACCCGGATGGAGGGGAGCAGCGGGTCGCACACACCATTTCGCGAGATGAAGTAGTGGATGATGATGTGTTATGAAGCAAAGGAGTGATCGCGAGAATAGAAAGGAGCCGAAGAAGTAGAATCTGGGATCCCAACGAAGAGAAAAGACATCGAGAGAAACTTCTTCCCCACAAACCTTTCCATGACGAACATCATTAGGTACCAAAAGTGAAGGTATTCCAGGAGGCAGCTTAGAAACCCTTGGAGTTGGCACGATAAATGTCCTACCGTAGGTTCGCCTGGAAGTGAAAAATGTTCGAAGACTGTGAGAAAAACCTTAGATATCGTGGACTCTTATCTTTTGCTCCAGCGAGCGCGGAGTTCTACGATCACGCCGGCTGCATCTCTTCGCCTCCCCTCCCCCTGTTTCCGGATTTTGCAACCACGAGGATTCCTGGTCCTCCCGGAGCTCGATCAGGAATGGATCAAGGAGTAATCACGTTGAGGAGCTCCCATCGACGTTCGTTCGTGAGAGCCTTGATCGTTCCGAGAGCTGTTTCCGTTTCTTTCTCGAGCGCCGCGCCGCCGGCAGGGGAACCGATAGTGCGCTGAAGCTTCACAAGGAGCTGCCCCTGGAGGTTTCCGCTGTAGCTGATGAACTGTTTCGGGCAGGGGTCAAACTTCGGAGCGACGTCAACCCCGGAGAGCAGCTCTTACGGAAGACTTGTCTATCACAATTATAAAGGGGGCGCATACGACTTCCAGAACGCGTTCGAGCTTGAGTAAGCTCCAAAACTCGTTCGGAACTCACTCGGTCGTGCGTAATGACCCTCACTCGGTAGTTTCCTCAGGGATGCGCGAGTTAGAGCGCGGGATTTAACTGTCGCACCCGTGGGGTAGCGACGCGAGGGGATTCAAAGGAATTCCAGGACTGCCTGCCCTCGAAGTCCTACGAAAACGCTAATGTGCCTAGAGCTGCGTTCCGTGAGTCTACGACGAGACGAATTCCTCGCGGTGGGGGAAAAGTGCCCAGGATCGGCCCAGAATCCGGTGGGCGAAGCGTCGAGCGACTCACGTCATTTGATGCGATAGAATCTGTTCGGTAGAATGACTCGTATACGATCGCCTCAGGTCTACGACGAGTCGCACGTCGCCGTCTCATATGCATCATACGGTCCAACACTCGAGACACGCCGAGTGAGGGCGCATCTTGCCGGCCATCCGCTTCGGTTGCCATGTTAATTGGAGCATAATCGCGCTACGTCGAGTCAGGTCCCCGCCTGGACTTTATCAGGATGCCTGATGGCGACACTCAGATTCGCTGGATGGGAGGAAAATCGAGAGTCCTTCTATATATAATCTTTCTTATTTCGATTTGAGCCACGTCACGTCACTTGCTGCAAATGTGATCCCGAGTTGTTGAGTGGCGCTTCTCATAGAACGGGGCTCAGGATATTCTGAGTGGAAATGTTGGAGATTGAATGAGCATGGGAGCTATGAACGCGAACGCCGGACTCTCGGCATGATCAAATACGAATAATAGCAGCCAGTAGTACAAAGACAGCGAGTGCAAAGAAGCCACGGCTCTTTGACGAATCACTGATGTATTCGGAAGAGAAGCGTTCCCGCTCTGTCTAGTCTGAACATATGATCAGAATCGTTCCCGCTTTGTGTCCTCTGGACAGATGGATTCGCGATCAGGTGACGCGCGAAGTCCCCTCTAAAACGACGAATATGCGCAGAAGACATCGAAACGGCGAATGCAGAGATGACTCTACGGAAACGACGCGACGGATGCAGAGAAAGCGTGAAATGTCACGGAGAGCACGAATGCACGGAAAACAGGAAAATAAACAACGAACGCCCAGGGAAAACCACGATACAACCATTGCTCACAGACGAACGGGCACTTGAATCGGAATTCATTAGTGGAACTAAAACGCTCGTTAGCAATAACTAACAAATAAATATTAGAATCAATGCCCAAAGTATAGTATCGAGTTCGAACTATGGGGCTCCGAAATGGTATGCCGGGAGACAATTCATCCGTAAAAACTTGGTGGCTATGATTCACAACTTTACCCGATGCATTACATGGTTGAGCGTCGCGGGTTTCGGCTAGCGTTCCGGAAGACGAGAAATTGATGCGAGTATCGGGATGAGAAATAGTCTATAGAAAACCGCTTGAAATCAAGAACGGAAGCCCGCAGTTATCGAAAGAGCTCGATCTCAATAGATGACAATTTCGAATCCCGCTTTGAGTGCAGCGCTACTCCGCCATCTTGGTTCTGCGTAGACGTCATGTGACAGCAATAACGCATACTGGGGAAAAACTTGGAGTTTTCCGCCTTTTCTGAGGAACGGCCCGCAGGAACGCTGAAAAATTCACTAAGGCAAATAACGAAGGAGTCACGAATCGATTGCGCGCTTGATCAAAGCGTAATCACGAGACAGTGGATAAGGTGCGAATTGACAGACAGAGATTGCGCTTCTATCATAGGTGGGGGGGATATTGTCCCGACCCGGCTGGAGCGCGAGTGGGGGAAACGATGCCGGCTGATAATTCTCTGTGATCCAGGGTCCCGCCCGATCCCTAGAATCTGTGTATGCCCGGACCCTGAATGTGAAAGGTAGCGAATACGAACGCCAAAATTACTATGAAGATAAACGATAACAGAGGGCACGGAAATCCGGACAGGGCTCATTTTCCAGGTTTGCGCGCGGCGAAGTGGGAACGAATTTTCTTTCGGAAGCAAGGCTGACCGTGTGATTCCCACGCCCACGAGGGATAGGTTTCATCCTGACTTTCAAAACTTCTTCCATCCCCTCAAATCCCTTCTTCCATCCCCGCTCCGTTTCATCGATCGATCGATTCACACATAAAGGATCGTCATTGCGAGATCTGAGGCTTTGTCCTATTTTGAGCACGTAAATCCATTCCGGGGTGATAGACTTCAATTCCGAGGGTATCAGCATCGAACGTCTGGAATCGCGACGCACACTCTTTTCCACAGTCGGGATGTACTCGAAACAAAAATGAGGATCTCTTTCCCGCTGCGACGGATTCGCAAAAACCCGGAATCCCGAAAACCCTGAATCCCGAAAATCCTAAATCCCGAAAACTCAGAGTCCTGAAAACCCTGAATCCCGAAAGCCCAGAACCCCGGAAATCCCCTT